CAAGAGTTCACTTAGTTCGCTTGATAATTCTTTCATTTCAGCATGAGCCAACCTATAGGGTGATTTGGCAATTGGAGTGGATCTAGGAACTAGGTCGATTCGGAATTTGATTTGTCTTCCTGGGGGTATTCCAGGAAGTTCCTTTGGAAACACATCCGGGAAATCACATGCTACTGGAATGTTTTGAATGCTCGCTTCGTCTTTGGTCTTATCCACCACGTGAGCAATGAATCCGTAGTTCTTATTTTGTAAACACTTTTGTGCCTTGATACCCGAGATAAGGCAAACATATGCGTCAGGTTTATCTCTGTAGATTATTAGGTGTAAAACCCCGTTTATTTATTAAATAAATAAATAAAATAATGAGCGAATAGTAGCCCTAAAATAAATAATTATATATCAAATGATGGTCTTATAGAGCTAATTGTCACACTTTAAGAGATTTGGGGTTAAAAGTGTAAAATACAGACTTATTTTGAAAGAAATTTATGTATTAAGGGTTTGAATGGTAAATATTAGCTATGCTTTGAAAGAAAATATGAAGGGAGGGACTGTTATTGTCAATATGGGAAACATTTAGATGGAGCGGGTATATATGTCACAGCAAATCCTAAACCCTTCATCTTTCAACCGCCTCCATTCATCCTCTTCATTTTCAACCTGCGACAGCCGTCCCTTTTCCCCCCACGTGGTCCGTTCTCCGACAAGCTAACGGCCACCAAGCAATTACCCGACCTCCTGCCCTGCCGACCGATCGAGACTATATCTCGCTATCGCCATCAGCTGACCCCGTTGTCACTAGTGCTAGTCATCATCCTCATAGCTGCCATCGGAGTCGGATTAAACCGTCATTGCGTTCTAGCGGCCGACGAAGACAAGGATGCTGCTCCGACGTGATTCAGTTGTCGAGATCGCAACCCTAGCCGCCACCCCGTTGTTGGGGGATGTTGAAGACGATAAGCCACCTACCTTCCTCATGGACACCTTGCACCACCGCCATGATGAACATTGTTGATGCTGCTGCCCTTCGACGACGAGCATTGTTCCTTCTTTGCCAACATAGAGTCGCTGTTACGCCACTGTCGTTGCCACTCACCTTAGGTGAGTGGCTGGGTTCGTTTTACTAGAAGAAAAATTGAGGGTGTGTGCTCCGAGTCGCGTGTGTGTTGTGTGTGGTTTATCTTGGCCGGAATTCTAAGTACAAGGCATCACTACCACCGTGGGGTGGTGGATGCCACCATGCACCACCGTGTTTTGTGTGTGTGTTAGTAGGTATGTGTGTTTACTTGAGATTTAGCCTTGTGAAATGTAATTGGAAATGGAATAATGAGAAAGGAACTAAAAACCACCACCGTGAGGTGGTGGCGACAGCCACCTACCGCCGTGTTGGGTGGCGGTGCGCTTTGCTTCTTGTGATAGATTCGTTTGGGGCGCTAGAAACCCTAATGGGCTTAAAGGAGCTCTAATGGTCCCAATGAAGCATAATGGACTATAATGGACCCAATAAAACCCATATGGGCTTAATAAGATTTTAGTGGGCTTATTAGGCCCAATAAAGCCCTAATTGTCATAAAAGGCCAACAAATTGATAAATGGGCTAATATGTGGATTGGAACACCCTAATGCCAATTAAACCCTAATTTTGAGAATTAATCGGGACACACAAGAATTATTTAATAACTTGAGATATTAAATAATAAACTTTGGCAAAGATTAATCTAAGCGATAATGGACTTAATGGATTAAGTCCTTAATGGATTAATTCCTTAATGAGTTAAGTAGGAAACTTAACCCTAATCAGCATTTTATGTGAAACCCTAACTTCACTTGGGTTTATTGTTGGGCCTTTCTATTAGGCCTTGATGATTGGATTATTAATGGGCCATCCAAGAATAATTATATGGACTAAAATAATTTAATGGGCCTAGGGTAAGTCCCATGTAAGGGGTTAGGCCTAATTTGGAAAATTAGGCCATAGATGGGCCATAGTTTGGGCCTTAATAATTACATGATGTTAGGCCTCAGGATAAGACCGTGTATAGGCCTAGGCCCAATTTGGAAAATTGGGCCATGTGTTGGGCTTTGATTCTTAGTCGATTTTGGGCCTATGGATTAGGCCTTCGGCTTGAATAAGCCAAGCTAGGGGTAATGTGGTAATTACCCAAAGAATGTACTTATGGTTATGTATTGGGACCCAATTATTAATTGGGTGTTATTTTGGTGTTGACAGTTCGGGAATCTGTCAGCCAGCAGCTGGGGTCGAGTCTGCAGAACTTCAGCAAGTGCGAGATTGTGTCTTCGGGACTTCAGCAGTGTGAGGTGAGTTACCTTCTAGTAGCGGCGGGTCTACGGCCACAATGCCGACCCACCAGTAGGGTTGTATGATAAATGTTTGTCTCTGTGATATTCATCTCGGATTGCTACTACCTGTGATATGCTAATGTGCTAGTATGATATGATGAGATGTGCTAGTGACAGTAGGGGGAGACAGTCCCCAGTATACCACTCGATAGGGCCGAAGGGGCGGTCATGCCCAGCCATGCTAGATAGATTATGAGATATATGTGTTATGTGGTAGTAGTAGGGGGATGAAATAATCCCCAGTATCCGGTCGAGAGGACCGAAGGGGAGACCAGCACCCAGATATGCTAGTCAGTATCCGGTCGAGAGGACCGAATGGGAGGCCAGCTCCCAGATATCCTAGACAGTATCCGATCGAGAGGACCGAAGGGGCAGGTCGGGCACCCAGATATGCCTGACAATATATGTATGTTATGTTATTATATGGTATGTGGTATGATGGGGGAACTCACTAAGCTTCGTGCTTACGGTTTTCAGTTTTGGTTTCAGGTACTTCGTGTTTAAAGGAAAGGAGCCGGCTTGATCGCAGCGCATCACACTATGGCTTTCCACACATGAGATCTTTGGGATTACACTCTAATATTATTTTATGATAACACGTTTGATTATTTCTACCTTGGTTGACATGACATGATATTACGGATGTTTTATTACACTGTTGGTTTTATGATGATGTATTTAAAAATGAAATTTTTGGCCTGTATTTTTGGGATGTTACATTAGGGTTTTGTGGTTAGGAAGATGAAGGTAAACAACCTTCTCGTGACACATAATATCGACATGATGGAGCTCAACCAATCCATGCCAATGATCACATCAAAACTCCTAATATTTATAGGGATTAAGTTTATTTGGAAGGTGTGATTATTTAGAGTTAGTGTACACCCTACATAGATATCCTTAGTTGGTACGGTCTTCCCATTATCCATTTCCACCTTGAAGGCTTCATTGAGCTTCTGCGGTTGTTGTTTTAGTAAATGTTTGAACTTATTACTCACAAAACTTCCCTCTGCTCCGCTATCATATAAAATGCATGCATATGAGTTGTTAAGCAGGAACATACCAGTGACAACGGTTGGTTCCTGTATTGCTTCACCCTGACCCATTGTTAGTACTCTCCCTGCTGCTCCTGTCCCTTGATTGCTCGCGATGGATAGTTGTGCTTAATATGCCCATTTTTCCCACATCCGTAACAGGTACAACTAGCTCCCGTATTGTTGTTGTTGTTGGTTGTCATCTGGTTCTGTTGAAGCTGAGTCCTACAATACTTCGATGTGTGGCCCTTCTGATTGCACCTTGTGCAACTCATCTCTCTGCACTCCATGTGATGGTGGAGGTTGCATTTGTTACACTTAGGGATATTTCCCGGATACTGCTTGGAAGTATTGGGTGTAGATGAGACTGGAGCATGTGGTGTGGTACTGGCTTGTGTTGGAGCATGGAAAAACAATGTTTGTTGCTTGTTAGATGTTTCCAAGTTCCGTTTTCCCTTTCTCTTGTTGGTTCTTCCCTTCTTACTCTCTTCCTCATTCTTACCCTTTGCCTCCACTGTCTTGACACCCTTCTTATTGCCATGATCGTATAGTTTCTTGGTCAATGTCTTGGCGTTATCAAACATCTTAGGGTTTTCCGCAATGAAATTCCCTATGATAGGTTAAGTCATTCCCCAGATAAAACTTTCAATCTTTTTTCTCTTTTGAGGTGATCATACCGGGACACAGAAGGGATAGCTCACTAAACCGGGATATGTATGCGTCGATATTGGAGTTTTAAACCGTGAGGTTCCATAACTCTTGCCCCATCTTTTGTATCTCACCTCTAGGATAGTATTCTGCTAACAGAATCCCCTTCAGCTCTTCCCAGGGCATCGCGTTCGCCACTGGGAGTGTCATGGCCTCTATGTGGTCATTCCACTAAGAGAGAGCTTGGTCAATGAACGTGCATGCTACGAACTAGACTTTAGACTCATCCGGACATCTACAGATTTCGAAAACAGACTCTACCTTCTCAATCCATCTCTTCAGGGCTATGACGCCTCCTGTCCCATTGAAGGTCCGAGATTTGGCGTTGGTGAAGTCCTTGTAGGTGCAGGTTCATGTGGCTCCATGATTTGTTCCTTGCTTTGTACTTCCAGTTCCTTGTCTGTTGCCTTCTCCATTGTTTCCATTAGTAATATGTGCAAGTGTTGCAATGACCGCATCGGACACTACTACCTGGAATGCAATCGAGTTAATTTCTGGAGACGACGGCTTGGGGTTTCCATGGGTGGTCGCTGAGGCATCCTTCTGTCATGGAATGGAAAGATGTTGAGTGCCTATGATTTTTGCGAGTTTGTGATCCAATAAACTAGGTGTATAGAATATACTTAAGTAGTTTCACATATTGACATAAAACATGGAAATATAACACATAGCAGATACCAACATCATGATAAAACATAAAGCATTTTCATTAAAAGTAATAGTTTTGAAGCATGAAAATTTGCCAAAAGGCATACAGTACATGTAAAATCCAGCAACATGACGACCCTATGAGTAGTGTAATCACTTAAACATAAAGTCGATAGTACGTATGGTAATACGCATTACAAGGAACACCATATTAGTTGGAGATACGGTTGGTTTCCCATATTCTGACACCTATATAGCAAGTAGTAGATCAAGTCCCATCGGTAGTGCTGACGATGGCACTAAATCGTCGAGCTGATGTATCAGAAGTTTATCCAGTTCATTTGCCTCTTGGGTGACTACCTCTACCCTTTTCTCGGCTCGTACAACCCTTGCTTCGGCTGCAAAGATTTGATGCTTGAGATTTGTTATTTCTTCCTCAAGAGAACGTAAATGGTATGCATCACCTTTTTGAACCATGCGTAGATCTGATGGGGATTTCGATAGGTGGAGTTCATTGCGCGCCTCCTCAGCGTCCTTTCCTTCATGTGACTCCTGGTCAGACTCGTCATATTCGTAATCAGTTACCACATACTCTTCCAGCTCCACTTCAGGTCCCACCTATAGACCCATGGCAGGGCCTCCTTCGGGGTTTTCTTCAGGATCCTCCTCAAGCACTCCTTGAGCCACTAACTCTTGGCAGAAGTGTACCCCTTGCTGATCATCATCCATGGTGGCGGCATGGGGTGCGGGAACAAATCATGTTTTGATTACTCTCATAGTATTTTTTTTTTTAATTATTAGTGTTTGGATTCCTTAGAGTTATTGGAGAGTAGGGTAGGATTTTGGATTCATTTCCCACTATGGTTACTCCCGAACACATGTTAGTCCTATTCTGAATAAATATAGTTGATTAGGCTATATCCATCCTTAAAGTGACTACATAACTGCCAAGGTTTAATCATAGTGTTCAATTTCTTCCAAAAGCTTTTATTACATATTGTTAGGTTATTATCCTAACATGCGCACATAAGTATGAAATTTTTGTTTTATTCAGAGTTATTTAGTCCCATTGTGTTTATAATTGTATATCATGTATGGTTAGATATGCTAGTTCACTATAAAAATTGCTCTGATACCAACCTGTCACACCCCCGATCTAGACGGCCGTAAGTCCCCAAAATTGCTTGTGTATCAATCAGATCCAATTGATGGTGCGGAATCGCAGTCAATTGGATGATGTCAGATCAAATAGAAGAGAAGGATAAGAAGAATTAAGATGAATCTAATGATGTATTGATGATATTGAGTGATGCTCCTTACAATAGATTCTCTCTTACACACACTTCTTATCTCTAACTTTCTCTCTCTACAAGAAGCTCTCTTCTCCAACTGTACACTCACATGTACTCCTCACCCTATATATATGATACATGGGCCACCAGCAGCACACGAGTGTACAGCTGCACACCCGTGTGCGGCCGTACACAGGATGTGCGGCCGCACACACATGTGCAGCCGTACACAGCCACAATATTACATATTATATTATAGAAAAAATATATTTTCCTAGAAAAGCAAAGTATAAACCAATAATTATGACCCAACAATCTCCCCCTTGGTTTATAGCTTTCTTTTCTAAATGACCCAACAAGCTCCCCCTAAAAAATAGTTGGCTTCTCTTGTTAATCTTCATTGGGAACTTGGCTTCAACATTAATCTTCAAATTCTTCACAGCTTCAAGATGAACATATGAATCTTCTATGAATGACTTCATCTTGAGCGGTTGTACATTTTCTTCAAGATTTGATTCTGATCGCACATTGGATGAGGAGGCTTGATAAAAGGATTCTTGAAAGATAGCACTTTCAACTTGAGAATCTTCAGAGAGAACTATCAGAGAGAAATAATCCTCTAGATCACTTCAGCGGGTACAAAGATAGCAGCAGACTGATTGAGGAGGATTCAATGCAATCTGTCACATATTCTTGAATTTCAGCTTCACCTTGCTTCTGGGGTTGAAGGATGGAATGTCAAAAGAATAATCTTCATTTCTTGCTCCTCCGAATGCAAATTCTTCGACGCTCACAGATGAAGCCTTGGCTCAGAAATCTTCAACACAAACTCCATGAGTCTTATCTATACCTGAAATCACTTTTCAAGACAAACCAAAACTAAAATAAAAATTAGCACACAAAAAAATATTTTTTGCTTTTTTTTTTATATTTTCTGGAAAATTAAAAATAGAAACAAAAATATTTTTGGATTTTCTGATTTTTCTGAACAAGAAATAACACTATTTTTGGATTTTTAATTTTCTGATTTTTGTTTATTTTTGAATTATTTTTAATTCTCCCCCTAAAATTTGTGCATAGAGTTAAACTATGAACAAATTTAACAAAAATAAAATGATATCTAACTTTAAGAATGATTTGGGATCAAAGTTTTTAGACAACCTTTATCTGTTTGTCGGTACCTTCTATCTTCACGTCTTTGTCTAGTCGATCGCCGGTATTGTTGTCCACTTAAACACGAAAAATTGTGACAAAATTAGGACATACTATAAGTGACAAGACAATGTGATCCTAAGTTCCTAGATATTATATATGATCCTATGTTTCTAGATACTATATCTTAAGGACCATTCAGCTGACGACGACCAGGGATATTGTTGTCCACCTAAATTAAGCAGCGAGATCTATAAACAATCTTTGAGTTTTCAATTTTAATTGTACTGGAACATGTTTCCCACTTCCTGATATGCCCCAGTAATCAAAGACTTCCAGAGTACTCCTTACATCGGGTGAGTAGACCATCATTAGAAGAGAAGATACATTCAGATTATTATCACTTATAGTTTTAGAGGGATTGAGAAGTAGAAGGTTGCATATGCTGTGTACCAGGTCGGATTGTTAATCCCGCAAAGGAGACAACATATGGCTAACAGATAAGAAGAATTTCATAGATCTAATATGCAGAGAAATAGATTTGCATATGTTGCAGTCCAGGTCGGATCTCTTCCAATCACGCAGAGGAGGCAACATATGACTAACAGTAAAAAAGAAAGAAAATAATTTTCTACAGACCTAATTCATCGGAATTTACCAGTCACCCCATCAATACCGGAATTAAGGACAGAATCCGCACATCGAGGAAAAGTTAAACCACGGTTCCAGATACGGGTTCATTTAATGTGACGAGTGGATTCCCATATATATCTCCCTGCTCAACCTATCCAAGCGTCGTATTGTCAGGCTGAACAGATCTATCTAGGTCAAGATTTATCAAGTCTCTAGATTCCTTAAGTTCATCTGCACCTAGTCATGTCCATTTATAATCTTTCATGCCTACCAATGCATCAAACCAGAGCCTAGACCCTTCAACTTTGGGTACGTTACGCAGACTTAGATTGCCTGTTATCACTTAATAACATCACTTTCCAAAACATCTCTTTCAAGCACATTCCATAACCAACATATTTTGCTAATATATATTTTTTTATGATTTATTATTATTATTATTATTATTATTGTTATTATTATTATTATTTTAAATTTTCTAATTTTTGTTTTGTTTTTATTTCTCCCCCTAAATTTGTGCATAGGAGAGAAACGAAAGTAAATGCGCAAATTTAAACTATCCTAAAACAAAAATTTGTCTTTAAAGCGAATCAGCTTAAGAAAAACTCGGGAGTATAGAGAAGAAAACTCAAACCATAAGTCACCGATTGAATTTGCATCCAGAAGGTCTGAGAACAGCACGCGTAATCTCAGAACAGATCCGAAAATTCTTCATGTCATTAAGCACAAACCCCGTGAGTGATCACTTCCTTTCTTCCCTTCCCACAAGGACACATACTCTCAAACAATGTTCTGAGTGTTGACCGTTGAGAGATGTCCCCTATGAAGTGCCAGGAACAGCCACTACCAACAAACTGAAGTCTGATGATATGCCTCCATAGCTGCTCCGACACAGAGCAGGATCAGTTGGTCTTTGGAACCCAATCCATTTTGAAACTGGGTTGACCTTTGTCATCTTTGCATGGTACTCTCTCCTATGACATGTCCTGCTTATCATAATCAGAAGATGAAGAAATATTAGAGTCGTTAGAAGATTTGGGAGAGTGAGCCTTTGGAACCCATTTGTAGTTGGGTTTAACCCATTTCTTTTTCGATCTGATGGATGGCTCAGTACTTGCTTTTGAACTTCATGTCGGTCGTTGAGATGATTTAGATTTTGACTTCACGGGAGCATCTCTTGGATTTGGCTTCTTGGCCGACATTCCCTTCTTGTTCTTCGGAGTTGGATTCTTGGTCTTCTGTGCATTCCAGTCACCATGGTTTGAACGTGACCTTGAGGGGTTTCTTTTAGAAAATCTCCCTCTTGGCGCGTTCTGCCATCCTTGTGCATAGTAGGGAACGTATGCACGATTACGACACTTTCTGGCAATGTGTCCAGGTGTTCCATAGTGAAAACATGTCTTTTTCTTCACTGTGGAGTTGTTTCTTCCTGCCCCTGATGGCGTGTGTTTGCCTTGCCTCTTGCTTTTCCCATACGTACAGTTGCAACAGTCACTCTATTTAGCTTAAAATGGTGGCCTGTATTTATCAACAGCAGGTTGATCAGAAGCAATTGAGTTCGAAGCAAAAGATTCAGAGTTCAAGGAGATGTTGTTTTGTTCAATGGTGTTCTACTTGTTCTCATTCTCTGCTACTTTACCTGCACATGAAGTAGAAGCATTAGTATCGTTCAGCTCAACATCCTCAGTTGTCCTTGATTGTTCAATCTTAACTAAAGCTGGAGTAGGGTTTTGGCCATACTGAGCAGTCATTTCTTCCTTATTGGTCTTGAGGGTTAGGTTATAATTGTGATTAAAAGGAGGTGGCACACTGTGGTACCCTAGACCCTTGGTTTGATTATCTTTAAAACTCAATTGATTTTCTACTAAGGACTCGACTGTCTTACTTGATGTAGTATAATTTTTGAAACTAACATTGGTTTTTCCACACTTAACTTTCAAAGCGTCAAGTTCTTCAGTTACAGCAACAAGTTTTTTCTTAATGTGATCATAATTTTCACACATATTGCTGTAATCTTCTTGGAGTTTTCGGAAATCCTTGATTTTGGTTTCTAATTGAGTTTTTAATGGTTTCTGTCCTTTCCTAAGAGTATATCCTTCGTATTTGAGGTCCTCATTTTCACTTTTTAGCAAATCAATTTGTTCGCGAAGAAATTTAATCGTAACTTTACAAGATGGAATACATGAAACTTCATTTACCGGAATTGATGTGGAACTCATATTTATTTATTTATTTATTTTATTTTTTTATATTTTTAATTGCCCTTTGATTAAAAAACTGAGAAAGTCAACCTTAAAATGAAATTTTAAAAAGTCAAACTTAAAAGTCAAACCGAAAAACTAAATTTGAAAAATTAAAAGTCAAACGAGAAAGTCAAAGTTTAAAGTCAAAGGTCAAATTTTAAAAGTCAAAGTCAAAAATAAAAGTGAAAATTTAAAAACTAAAATTTTTGGGTTGAAAAAGGATTTTAAAAAAATAAAATTTGAATTTTTTGGGGTTTAAAATGTCAAAATTCGAAAGTTTGAACCGAGAAGACTAGCTTATGTTTTAAACTTTGAAGGTATGACACAAAGACTTCATTGGTTGAGCTAGTAGAGCGCAAGGTTGAACACTTTGAGGTCCCCAGTTCGATCCCCGGCAACCTAAAAACGT